TAATTACAGGTAAAATTTAGCAAAATCTCTTTAACTATTCTTTCTAAATTACTTTCAATATCATGTCTTCAACATCCTCTCTGAACTTGTTGGAATGTTTTTTTCCAGTCTGACTTATCATAACCTTCCTTTACTACATGTTATCTTCAGCAGGAATCAATTCCCACGGTTGAGTTTCATTTTTTAACTCTGCCCCACTTACATGTGGTAACAAGTTGGAGAAGCTGCAATTGTTGGGTAGTAACCTCCACTCTCACAGTCAACACCTCATTCACACTCCCAGCCACATTCCCTTTCCCTGCAGAAGCTAATTCTATAGTTTTCATAAACTGGAATGTGCAGCTTTAAGTTTAATTTGAGAAAGCAATTAGTAATGAAAGTGTGTGCCAAACATCCTACCCTTTCAACATATTCATGTTTCCAAGTACTTTTTGCTTTGTTTTGTTGCTTCCCGTGTGGAGAAGTTTATGGTTAAGAAAAAGAGGCATTCAGTTCTCTGACCAAATCCACCAGAACAGAGAATACAGACACACACTGGTAACGCAGGAAGCGCCAAAAGCCAGGTTTCAGACCAATTTTCTAACCTTGTTTATCCACCTATTTTATCTCTTTAGGCAAAATCATAACCTCTCTCAGCTTCAACTTCCTCTTCTATAAAATAGAGACAATACCCTCCCTATCTCAGCAGCTTGCTTGAGTTATAAAATGACAGCATCACAAACAGCACTGTATAACTGTAAACTGTGTGTGAATATATACCAAAATATATATGTGTGAATATATTTTTGAATAGTAATGCCATATCCTATAGACAGATTAAAAAATAATTTTATATCATGTGTTAAAGTGAAAGTGCAAGTCGCTCAGTCATGTCCAACTCTTAGTGACCCCATGGACTATACAGTCCATGAAATTCTCCAAGCCAGAATACTGGAGTAGGTAGCCATTCCCTTCTCCAGGGGATCTTCCCAACCCAGAGATTGAACCCAGGTCTCCTGCATTGCAGGCGGATTCTTTACTAGCTGAGCCACAAGGGAAGCCAAAGAATACTGGGATGGGTAACCTATCCCTTCTCCAGGGGATCTTCCCGACCCAGGAATCGAACCGGGGTCTCCTGCATTGCAGGCGGATTCTTTACCAACTGAGCTATCAGGGAAGCCCACATGAGCTATCATGTTTTAAAAGTCCCAATTAAATACTTTATTAAATACAGTTATATAAAATTCTACACACAGTAAATCCAAGGGAAAAATTTTTTTGAGAAACAGAATCTAGCTTTCAAACACATGTTCACAGACAAGTTCATAATTTTGAAGCAAGTATGATTTTCTAATCTGGTATATTCTTGTAAGAAAATTTTTACTCACAATCACTTCCTTTTCTATTGGTCAAACTTAGAGTAAACAAAATACTGGAGATTAGTTCATATCTTGTGCTAAGAATTTCTGCAATGTGGTCTTCATATAAGCCTTCATTACAATGAATTAAAAAAAATTTTTTTTAATCCAGGATAACTTCCTGATGTTAGATTTCTTTAAATGCTAAAAAAAAAAAAAGGACCATTAAATTAGAAGATTCCCAAATCATTACACACTTCCAATTTCCTAGACAAAATATCAATGTACTTTCATTCTCCAAATAAAAGATTTTCTATAAACATACACATACATGCATTTCTTAAGTTGTGTTTTTATGTCTTTATTTATATGCGATAACTTTTGAACACAAATCGTTTAACGTGTTTTATTTTCATTTTGGTTGTTTGCAGTTTACTCTACAGCCCTATTATGGCAAGATTCTATCTGAACTTATGCTGTTATAATTAATTAAAACTGTTTAAAACATGAATTTGAAAAGTATTAACTATGATTTTGTGACTTAAAATTCTTTTTCTAAACTTTGCAAACATTCTGTACAAACTAATTGTGCTGAGAAAAAAAAAAACAAACTAGATTTCAAGTTGCTCAAGGTTCCTAAAAAGGTGAAAAAGTTTAAAGAAACAAATGCTCATATGACCAACACCCATTTTCAATTTCAACATAGAAAACCTCCTGTTTGTTCTTAAGGCTAATTCAAAACCAAACATATTGGGGCTGGTGATTACTTAAGATAATCTATGCAATCATAAGCCAAAGATGCAAATTTTGCAAAAAGAAAACCAAGCAAGTAAGCAAAACTCTAACACATGTGGGACACACCCTCTCAGTATATAAAGGCTTGTCACTGTCCTTGGTACCATGCACTCCCTGAGCTAAACAGCATCACCATGTCTATTCGATACAGCTCAAGCAAGCAATACTCTTCCTCCCGCAGTGGATGCGGAGGAGGAGGAGGATCATCCCTCAGAATTTCGAGCAGCAAAGGCTCTCTTGGTGGAGGATTCAGCTCAGGGGGATTCAGTGGCGGCTCTTTTAGCCGTGGGAGCTCTGCTGGAGGCTGCTTTGGGGGCTCATCAAGTGTCTATGGAGGAGGATTAGGTGGTGGCTTTGGTGGGGGCTATGGAAGTAACTTTGGTGGGAGCTATGGAGGAGGCAGCTTTGGAGGGAGCTATGGAGGAGGTGGCTTTGGAGGGGGCAGTTTCGGAGGGGGCAGCTTCGGAGGTGGTTTGGGTGGTGGATTTGGAGGAGATGGTGGCCTTATCTCTGGAAATGAAAAAATAACCATGCAAAATCTGAATGATCGCCTGGCTTCCTACTTGGACAAAGTTCGGGCTCTGGAAGAATCAAACTATGAGCTAGAAGTCAAAATCAAGGAGTGGTATGAAAAGTATGGCAATTCAAGCCAGCGAGAGCCTCGTGATTACAGCAAATACTACCAAATCATCGACGATCTTAAAAATCAGGTAAGGGGCATTTTTAAAATGCAACTTTAAGCCTCTTTTTGTGCATGTAATTCTGATAGATAATTTTTAAATCAACTACAATGTTCACTGTGTTGGACTACATTACTTTCTTGCTTCCATGAGCAATCCAGTCTCTTCAAAGGTAAATAGCTGTGAGGGTACAGTCATTGTGATCTTCATCCAACATGTGTGTTGTGTATCTTGTAGGATGGGGGGATTACTGAGAATTTTTTATGGGTTAATGAGTGTAAGAGTCCACAGTTAAAATACATTAGAAAATGTACAAACACAGGGACTGAAAGAATTATTCAATGAATCAGAAAATATTATTCAGATTGATAAACAACAAATACTCATTACTGACACTGCAAGAAACATGAATTTTCCAGTATGAAAATGGAGTATTCCTTGACTTGAGGGAATTTTTGAATTGCATTTTATGCTGTTTATATTCATTTAGAATATATATTTAAAACAAGTTAAACCAAATACAGGTACGAGTCAGTAAAGTTAGCTGAAATACATGGAAATTACACAGGTATAAGAGCGGGACCTGAATGCAGGAACACAGCTATATAATCCAGTTAGTTTTCAGAAAGGGAGGATATAGAAATAGAAAAGTATAGAAATTTCAAGAGAACAAATGATTCAATTTTAAGTATATGGGTAAGACTGCAATGTCAGATTTAAAATAAAAAATTCCCCAAGACTTAGAACACCATAGAAATGTAGTTCACCTACGCCACTATAAAAGCTGTGTCTGTATCTGATTTGTCTCTCCTTCCAGATCCTCACCCTGACAACAGACAATGCCAATATCCTGATTCAGGTTGATAATGCCAGGCTGGCAGCTGATGACTTCAGGCTGAAGTAAGCTAAGCAAATGTGGCACAATACTGTCACAATAAATACGTGAGATGTTTTTAACAATGTATGCCCACAAGAGCATTTACATTTTCCTCAATCCATTCAAATTTAAACTGTATTGGAGCTGTCAAGAGAAACTTTCAACCTCAGTATTACCTTTTAGGCAATATTATAATAAGATGCTCTTTAAAGTACATGATAAGTTTCTTTGCATTAAACCACTAATATCCCTATGTGAATCAGAATATGATAAATGTTGCCAAGATACGAAGTCAACTCTTTACTTGGTTTCTAAACAGTCCCTACCCAGGAATTCCTCCCTGATATAAGTTATACCCAGTATTTGTATCATGCTTGTTTCAGGTATGAAAATGAGGTAACCCTGCGCCAGAGCGTGGAGGCCGACATCAACGGCCTGCGCAGGGTGCTGGACGAGCTGACCTTGACCAAGACCGACCTAGAGATGCAGATCGAGAGCTTGACCGAGGAGCTGGCCTACCTGAAGAAGAACCATGAAGAGGTAACATAAGTAGTTCTACTTCCCCCAGCCAAAAAGGGACTCAGGGTCATGAAGCAGTCATTAAATATTTCTTTTCCTCAAACAGGAAATGAGAGACCTTCAAAATGTATCCACTGGTGATGTGAATGTGGAAATGAATGCTGCCCCAGGTGTTGATCTCACTGAACTTCTGAATAACATGAGAAGCCAATATGAACAACTTGCCGAGAAAAATCGCAGAGACGCCGAAGCCTGGTTCAATGAAAAGGTAGTTCATCTTCCTTTGCAGCAAAGTCAACGGTGGTTTGGTTATTCGTTCAGATTTTTTTCATCAGGTCCCCTGTTTTTAATATTCTAGAGCAAGGAACTTACTACGGAAATCAACAGTAACCTTGAACAAGTATCGAGCCATAAATCCGAGATTACTGAGTTGAGACGCACTATTCAAGGCCTGGAGATTGAGCTACAGTCCCAACTAGCCCTGGTAAGTAAATAATTCTCTTGAGAAATAACATCACTTTATCATGCGTTTCATCCTCAGATGAGAATAGGCAACATAAAAGAAAATGCAAAGTCGAGGGTAAAAAAATAGAAATAAAATTGAAGCTTTTTGCTAATGGGATAAAAGTATTATTGGCACTGATTGAAAAATGCTGAAATTGAAATATTATCAAACCTAAAACACAAATCTGTTCGCTTTCCTTATTCTTCTCATGAAATTATTAAACAAGCCTCACTGTACTTAAGTGAACAATGAAGTAGTTAAGTTACAATATATTCTCTCCTCTTCAGAAACAATCCCTGGAAGCTTCCTTGGCAGAGACAGAAGGTCGCTATTGTGTGCAGCTCTCTCAGATTCAGTCCCAGATCTCCTCTCTGGAAGAACAACTGCAACAGATTCGAGCTGAGACCGAGTGCCAGAATGCCGAGTACCAACAACTCCTGGATATTAAGATCCGACTGGAGAATGAAATTCAAACCTACCGCAGTCTGCTAGAAGGAGAAGGAAGGTAAATTACAGAAAATGTTTAAGTCATCCCAGTTGCTTTTATTCAGTGTTCCAAGCCGCAAGGCTTTCCCCAAAACCCAAGGATGTGTCAGAGCACGGGAGAAAGTGGAAAGAGAGGAGGCAAAGTACACAAGAAGGTGTATGCAACCAGCCTCAATGTCCCACGAATTTGACACAAGAAAGATTCTTAGGCTTGGGTGCATATATAATTGTTTTAAAAGAACGGGTTCATAACCGGCGGGGGTGATTTTCCTCAAAACACCTTTTGCCTAGGTTATAAAGTAACAATAACGTGGAAATAGACTCACAGCTTCCCACGTTAGAGCTAACGGAAAGTAACGTTTACTCTCCAAGTTCCGGCGGCGGCTCCTACGGCGGCGGGCGCGGCGGCGGAAGTTCCGGCGGCTATGGCGGAAGTTCCGGCGGCGGCGGCGGCTACAGCGGCGGAAGTTCCAGCGGTGGCGGCCACGGAGGTAGTTCCGGCGGCGGCTACGGCGGCGGAAGCTCTAGCGGCGGTGGTCACGGAGGTAGTTCCGGCGGCGGCTACGGCGGCGGAAGCTCCAGCGGAGGCCACAAGTCCACCTCTTCAGGGTCCGTTGGAGAGTCCTCATCTAAGGGACCAAGGTCAGCAGAAACTAGCTGGGGTAATCAGAATTAGTTTTAACTTTTTGATGGGTTTTTGTGTTGTTGTTTTTTGGTTTTGTTTTTTAAGTTCTGTAACAGTTTTTTGGTTTTTTTTTATTTTTACAACTATTTTAAAAATTAAAATCTTATAAAATTTTTATATGCTTTTTTTAACCGACTATAGTTGTTGACACCAGTCTTGAAGGGAAAACGGTATTGTCTAAAATGCTGTAGCTTTGGTGTTTTTAAAAGTAACTGTAAAGAAGTTTTCTTTTTTTTTCACTTTGGTGTATTTTTCTTTGCATTTAGATATTTTGATGTAGGTATTTTTAGTAAATATCTTTGATTTAGCTATTTTGCTCGTTAATTAGTAAGGACCCCACAAATTGTAGTCTAAATTCTATTGTTTTTTATTGTAATTAACTTACAGATACTAACAAAACCAGAGTGATCAAGACAATTATTGAGGAGTTGGCACCTGATGGTAGCGTCCTTTCATCTATGGTTGAATCGGAAACCAAGAAACACTACTATTAAGCTACATCAAGAGGAAAGAGGCTCCCCTCACACAGGCCATTATGCATAGATGCATGAAAAAAAATCTCCAAGGAAACACTTCAGTCTTAATGGCCTATGGAAATAGGTCCACTCCTTGATCATAAGGTGTCTAAATGGTATTTTGTGGTTTCTGTATTTCTCCTTTTCACTTTACCGGAAAGTATTCTTTAATGGAAAAAAAGAAAAACTTTCTGTTCTCATTTACTAATGAATTTCAATAAACTTTCTTACTGATGCAAACTATCCAATTTGGTCAGAATTATCTTTATTTGAGTTAGACAACTTTTAACATTAAAGATTAGTAAAGTATCATTTGAAGATTGATTTATCCAGAAATTCTGAAGACAGGTTATCATTAGGATTTCTCTGAATCTGTTTTTTAATCTTACAGACCAATGTTGGTAATCTTGTTGGACCAATGTTAGTAATCTCAGGAAAAAGTCCATGAGTCCCCAGTTATTCTTTCTTTAAGATACAAAGTATGTTGACAGCTCCCAGTTCTCTGGCTTTGAATTAAGTCTTGGAAACTATGAAAAGTCTCAACACCCCAAAGATTAAATTAATTTGAAATTTCAAATTTTCTGATCACTTGCCTTCTCACATTCAGCCCTTCTTATTAATATTTTCTTCTCATTACTATATTACTTCTGCCCAATTGCTACACAGCCAAAGAGATAGCTTCCAACACTTACTAGCCCAGTAAAATATCACCCTGACAAAATTATTTGGTGTCTATCAGACAAACAGGAGAAGCACTGTCAAGACATGGTGATACCAATTTAACCAAAAGGACACCTGTAAGTCTCTACCTTCACCAATTAGTACAGTGACCAGTACTAAAGACCTGGTTCTTGTAAGATCAATCCAATCACATCCTTCAGTCAATAAGAACCCAACTGACATTATTACTCTGTGAGTATATGGGGTAGGTAAGGGTTGGATTTACTCCATGACCTTAAGACAACCTTGTGCTCCCTGGTGGGTCCCTAGGTTATCCTTGTCCACCAAACAGCCTTTCTTAGTATCCTTACTGATTTGAGCTCCAGATCTCCCAAGGACCTGAAACCAGCCACATGACTGAGACTTCTGCTGGGTAAACCCCACACTCTGTATCCCAAACTGATCACTGAAACTGTATTTTATTGTAAATGGACTTTGTTATAGTGAAAACACCATGACCTACCTGGCACCAAACATTACCCCAGACACTGTTTTAGTGCACATGACTTTCTATATGTACTGGCCACCCTTCTTGGGAGCCAGTCTGTTGAAGTTCCAAGATGCTGCCTTGCAATGCCCTGAAACAGGGCTGGGTAAGGATTGTTTGAGAGGAGAAGGGGGCAACAGAGGTTGAGACAGTTGTATGGCATCATTGACTCAATGGACATGAATTTGAGCAAACTCCAGGACATAGTGAAGGACAGGGAAGCCTGGTGTGCTTCCATGGGGTCGAGAGTTGGACATGACTTTTCTACTGAACAACAACTGTGAATATACTATTATTCAAAGAAAACTCTCTTATTATTATCTAGCATAATTAATCAAGTCCCTGGGACCTAGATTATTGTTCTTAATCTGAGTTGGCCATTCTCATTATTCTGGATAAGGGTTTTCATATTCAATAACATGTATTTGAGACAAATGCAAATATATTATTATGAAATAGTTATGTGCTCCAAGCCAGGATCTCAGCTGGTCAGTTATTTATCTGGATGGGTGGTGACCCAAACCTTCATTCCTAAAGGTCTGAATCATGGTGGTCCTATCTTCTTACGTTTTCCATCTTCTTATATCTCTTTAAAGCATTTATATTTAATTTCCTTTATAAGGTAACTAGCTTATCTCTGATGGAAAACTACTTTCTTGATGGGTGTTGACTAATCTGATTGTGGTAATTATTTCTAGACACATGTATTAATACGTCAAGTCATTATGCTGGACATCTTAAACTTATACAGTACTGTATATGATATCCCAATTTAAAAAAAAAACTTTCTTGACTGGACTCTGAAACTATAGTTTCATAAAGACAATGTATCTAACAATTTTATTTTAACAGGGACATTCGTTTTTAGAGTTAAAAGTTATTGTTAGCTGTCCAGGTTTCTATTTTTCCTACAAAGATTTATCATGTAGCTATTAATCGAAAACCCTGTACACATTCTTACAGATTCTAAAGTTGTTACAGAGTCCTGCTATTTAAGCAGGGAAGTGTCCACTGAGACCATCAGAGCCAATTTTGAGACTCATGTGAAATCACACTAAACAGCAAAAGCTTCCATCTCTGAAGATTCTGCTTTATGCTGCTAAAAGCCTTGGGACTTTACACACTAACATTGATGTGCATGATGACTTGATATTTTGGGTGGGCATGGAGAATAACCTTGTTATGGCCAGCACAGGGAAGCAGCTTGAGTTAGTTTAATTAAATAAGATTCATCCAGCATTTCCCATCTAGATTGCATCTTGAGAGTGGCAATTAGGGAAAGAACTCATTTGTAGGTACAGGTATGCATTTCAAAGTCAGTGATTCCTGGACTTCATATTCTAGCACTGACATTTACAAGTCATGTAAATTTTGGACAAGTTACTTGAACTATCCTAAGTCTCAGTTTTCTTATCTATACAGTAGGGATAATAATTACCTCATATGAGATTATTGTTTCCTCATTTGGGGATAATATGAGTTAATAAAAATGTGTGCTTAGTCACTCAGTCATGTCCGACTCTTTGCGACACCATGGACTGTAACCCACCAGGCTCCTCTGTCTATGGGGATTCTCCAGGCAAGAATAGTGGAGTGAGTTGCCATGTCCTCCTCGAGGGGATCTTCCCAACCTGGGGATTGAACCTAGGTCTCCTGCATTGCAGGCTGATTCTTTACCATCTGAGTAACCAGGGAAGTATCTTCCCTGGTTAATAAAGCCCTTGAGCCCACCGTACTGAAGAAACAGTATTATGTTCATCTTCAAAGAAATATGCTTGTTGGCTAAATAACTGAGTTTCTCCAAAGATGAACAAGAGCATCACGATAAGTTGTTAGAGTAGGTGATCACTAACATCGTCTATCAAGAGGTAGAGAACCAGGTCAGGTTGCTGTCCTAGGGCTGCAAAACTAAATTCCAGTGTCACAAAGGGTTATGATTAATCCAGTTCTGGGAATCTGGAGTCTGATAAAATATAGCAAGAAGTTTGTGAAAGTAAGTGGGAAGGACCAGATGATTACCCCAAAGACCTGAGATAGTTGACCACCCCTGAAAGTTACAGCTATGGTCAGCATGATCATGATGCACACTATACAGGCTGTGTCCTTGGATGACACAGGGAAACAAATTATCACAACAGAAATAAAACCTGTTGAAACTAGGTATGGAAGTTTTTTTTTTTTTTTGAAGGATACTTTTTGACCCAGGTTGTCCCACAGAAAAAGACATGCCCAAAGAAGAAGGACTCTTTGAGTTGTCATCTTGCTCCTTAGTCTCTAGATAAAAACACAAACACTGAGACTTCTCTGGTGGTCCAGTGGTTAAGAATCCTCCTGCCAGTGAAGAGGACTGGGTTCATTCCCTGTTCTGTTTATGTCATAGAGCAACAAAGCCTATGAGCCACAACTACTAAAGTCCCCGTGCCTAGAGTTCATGTGCTGAAAGAAGAGAAGACACTGCAGTAAGAATCCTTTGCCCACAGCAAAGAGTAGCCCCCAATCATCACAACTAGAGAAAGCCTGAGCACAGCAATTAACACCCAGTGCAGCCAAAAATAAAACTGATTTTTTTTTAACCCAGAAACACCATCCACATGCTAACATTGAGTAAAAGGTCTTTCCAGCCTAACATCAGTTGGGAAAAGAAGAAATTGTTGTGAATTGGCATAAGCATTGGATATTACCTTAGAGAACAATTTGGGTAGTGTTCTGAAACTAGTGTTGTCCAAGATTTTAGCAAAGAAAAAAATCACATATTTAAGCTTTCAATTAATCTTTCCTACACAGAATAAGTTATCTAAGAAGAAATGCTAGAAAAGTATAAAGAATTGGGTTCGAAGGTTAGTTGAACCATGACCAAGCTAATGACCCCTTTAGAAGAGGAATTCTCATTAAAAGTTTTGATCTATTACTATGTGTTAGAATGCAAACTGGTGTGGCCACTATGGAGAACAGTATGGAGGTTCCTCAAAAAGCTAAAAATAGAGTTGCCATATGATCCAGCAACCCCACTCCTGGGCATATACCTAGACAGAACTATAATTCAAAAAGATACATGCACTCCTATGTTCACAGTGGCACTATGGCACTATTCCATACAATGGAATAATACTCAATCATTAAAAATAATAAAATAATGCCATTTGCAAAAACAAAGATGGACCTACAGATTATCAAACTAAGTAGAGTCAGAAAGAGAAAGACAAATACTATATGATATCACTTACATGTGGAATCTAAAATATGACACATATCTAAAATGAACATACATACAAAACAAAAACAAACTCACAGATCGAGAGAACAGATTTGTGGTTGCCAAGGGGGCGAGGCAGTGGGGGTGGAGAACAAGCAGTTTGGGATTAGCAGACACAAACTAACTTACATGGGATGGATAAGCAACAAGGTCATATTACATAGCACAGGATACTCAATATCCTGTGATAAACCACAATGGGAAAGAATATGAAAAGGATATATGGATAGATAGAGGTATATATATAACTAAATCACTTTGCTATACAGCAGAAATTGTACAACATTGTAAACCAGCTTTGGCCACCTGATGTGAAGAACGGACTCATTTGAAAAGACCCTAATGCGGGGAATGATTGAAGGCGGGAGGAGAAGGGGACAACAGAGGATGAGATGGTTGGATGGCATCACTGACTCAATGGACATGAGTTTGAGTAAGCTCCGGGAGTTGGTGATGGACAGAGAAGCCTGGCGTCCATGGGATCACAAAGAGTTGAACACAACTGAGTGACTGAACTGA